AAATAATGAATAAATGAAATAACTGTTAGGATCCTGGTTATTGGCGTTGCTAGTTGTACTGTAGCGATAGGGAGGATGAGCATTTTCCGGTCTGGAATCGTGATATATAGGACAGTGTAACACAAGTGGTAAGTAGTCAGTAGTTGATCCACCCAGATTCGTTTTGTCCACTGTGATTCAAAAGTTTTCGTTTTCCCTCACCAATGGTCTTATCAATGTAAAAAAAAAGAAACATAATGATTTGACTAGCAAGGAGAGGCAGAGATCATCCTTCGATGTCTTCTTAAACGGCCTAGGCCTCTTGAGCACTTCTGTTATATAGCCTCGAAGTTCTGGAAAATGCAGTGTGGTTGTTTGGTGGATAGAAATCCCTACTGTTTTCCACCGAATGATGAGGAAAAAGACTTCTCTCCAATATTGTTCGAAGCGGTATTGAATTAGCACTGATTCTTTCGGTATGGATTGCTCGTAGCATTTTGGACTTTGTGATTGTTGAAGAAAGCGTAACAGCTCTGCTTTTTGACGTGCTACTGTATTCTCACGCCATGAATGATATTCGAGGTTTTGAACGATCGTTTCCAGAGAAATATCGTGAAAGAAAGTAACGTATGGTGACCTTTTGAAAAAGGCGCTTGGTGATGGAAGGTGATGGGGTAATAAGGGATGAAAAAATAAAGTAGTTGGCGTTGGCGTGATCAATCCCTTTTTGGGATGCGGCACGCATTCTACTTCCATTTGTTCGTAGTGGCGTTTGAATGCGATGTGGCCTATACAATGACTTGCGGGGGCCAGCCGATGTACAAGTCAGTGTTTTTATCCTCCCAGACAAGTCTGGTACCAATTAACCGACCCCGGAGGGATGGAAGGCTTGGTTGGCCCGGGCGACTCACGACCCAGGATTTGATCCCCGGACCGCGCGTATGCAGCGTGCCACTTGCCACTACACCACTTCCGCCCTGGGTAATAGATTTTATTTTGCAATCAGGATAGGAGAAAATGGTTAGTTTCCTGCTCTAAAGGACCGCTTAGTTGTGCAATCTGTTCCCAGTCGGTCAAAGTTTCAAATCCTCTGTGTTTGGTCTACTAGCGCAGTCCCAACCATAAGTGCTTGAATAAAATCACCGACTCAGCTGGATCGCTTCAATTCCGTGTCAATTTAAACCACATGAAAATGCCGCTATGGTTCTATGTAAACCAGTGTAGAGTGCATGGTGCATCCCGAAAAAGGTTTGATCAACGCTTACCTCTCCCACCTTAATTTTATGAACACAAAGGCAAGCTTCCACTTGATTCTGAGCCAGGGCCAAGGGCAAACACCATCCCATTTTGGCGCAGAGGCAAAGGAGAGCAGCGGAAATAACATTGCGGAGGTCCCAATCGGATGGGGCTGTCACTTAGAGCTTACAATTTTTATATATTACCAGGTAAAACCTATTTCTATTGTTATTCGATTGCAGACATTACTTTTTCATAGAACTTGGTTACTAAGTAAGTAGCAAAATCTTATCAGGGCACCCTTGTAATAACTTTTATGGCCTCACCAGTCAGCAAGCAGTGCGAAGTCGAAGTTCCTTAGATCGCATTGTCCCAAGCATTCTCCCTGGACATTTGTTTGGCTAGCGAACCGAAATAGCGAAAAATGTTTCTTGCATACTGTACAGGCGCATGTAACGAAAACGAAACCATGTTTCATTTTCGCTAAACTGGTAGCAGTACCAAAAAAGAAGCGTAAGGTACTGTTAAGGGTTCGATCCCCGTGGCGACTAAATTTTATTTGGGTTAGCCTACGGGCTTGGTGCCAAATCGCGCTAAATGTCAAAATCAGATGGTCATTCACCGCCAGGACCATTTTGAAGGCCACCGACCGCCAAACTTGTTGCAAATATTTATTCGGCCGCGGGAAGGTGAAACAGTTAGGGCGGTATCATGCACGTCACGTTTGTGATACTAAAAAAACTAAGAGACCGTTCAGCGAGAATTGAAAAATTGTGTTTAGTTTTTGTGTCCATTACATGCGTCCCTAAACAAATTGCAAGGAACCGTTTCCAGAAGGCGCGCCTGCCCTGAAAGACCTTTCCTTGTTTAGGCAACGATTACATATGCCGTTAATAAACGGTCCTTTTTTCTTGGTGGAAGTCGAGTATCATTGGTCGCATTTTTATGCCTCAATATATGTGCATGGAGCCTTGATACTTGTATTAATGCTTATTTTTTTATTTTACTAAAACTTATGATTGTAGAGAATTTGTGACCAGGGCGATCCGTGGCATAGCGCATTTTCGAAAATTTCTCGATCCCGCATTCTCTTCCCCCTTCCAAAGGGATCTCGATGCCCTTCCCTACTCCTCGATACTACTCTCATCATCATGGCAGTTCTTCACCTTTTCCACCTGAAACAGCTGTCGAGAGGTGGAAAGTGAGGAGGTAGGGAAAGGGAGGAGGATGCTAAACATACTAAATATCAGACCGCAAATCCATCTAATTTAGACCCCATGTTTATCTGTTCGCATTTCCACTGCGTGATGATCAGAAAGACCGCTTTTATCCATCTTTTTCACCTTTTTTAACTACCGGAAATAACGAACTCCTCCCCTCCCTCAAAAAAAAATTTTGGTACGAATTCTTTCGTTGAGAAATTGCTCAATACACAGTTGACCTTGTGACAAATTACTAAGAGTTCACCTATTCTGTCTATGTTTGAGTGCATCGCTGCACGCGTTGGTGTAGGTGTTTCCCTAGTAATTCTGTGGACGCCGTCCTCCATCAACGCTGGTATCGGAAATTGGATCGTTGACGGGTGTTGTTTTAGTTTGATTTGTTGGTTCTGTGGCGGTAGGGTTTTTTCGGTCAGCGATGTGCCGCAGGGTATTAGTGATGAATTTAAGATTGGAATAGCTCTCGTTCCGATTTGCATAACATCTCGCTACCACGGTGGTGCACACGACCACCAGTTGCTTTGCGAACGCGAGAGCAGATTCAGCACATTCCGTGGCGTCGATGTGGTGCCTTACGCCATCTGGCCGCCTCTCTCCGACCGCAGTCGCGGTGATTCGCGCTCAGTGGGGCTGTTTCGAAGAGACGAAGTCTTCGTTGGGATGAGAGGTGTATGGACGCATTTGATCACAATGCATGTACGCGACTGATTAGAATTTCATAGTACGTAATGCGCTGCTCGCCTATCCGCTCCTCCCACAGACGTTATTTCCAGTAGGTTAGCTCTTGCAAGTGCTTTCAGTTTCCTTCCTGCCGCACCCCACTTTCATATTCGTGACCCTCAACTTATGAGAAGTAATCGTATAGCTACCTGTATTTGCTAATATTGCTGCTGCTATCTGGATAGTTAAATCTTGCTTAAATTTCATATTAAATAAAAAAATCCTCCGCGGAGAATCATCAGCGCCTAAGTCGCAGCTGTGCTGGTTTTCGTGTGGTTTGGTGAAAAAATCCATTGAAATACATAGGAATTTGTCTATTTTCAATCTGGCTCTGCTTAGATTTCCTAGAATGACTGCTCGAAAAATTTAAGGTGAAGATCACAAACCTCATTTAAGTATTGAATCAGTGCCTTTTGATAGCGGAAGTCAAAATTAAAGAAAATCTCCTGATCCTCCAATAGTATTGCTCGATCTATCTTTGGTCGTACCGTGAGTTTCAAAAATAGGGATCAGGTACTAGGCCTGCTTTTTGACCTGCTAGTGCGCAGTGTTTTGATCCCTATTCACCCGAAAGAAGTTTTCCTTGTGAGAGCTACAATTTTCAGTTGCCGTCGAAAAGTTTACCATGACGTACGCTTTTCAACCTATGTTCCAATTTCTTCAGATTTTTTTTGTTATTATCGCAGAAAAACGTCTGAAAATTTGCTCATTTCAGGGAGGTGGATCAGAAACTGGTTGTTAAGCCCTGAATTAGATTCATCACCGCTTTACATCACCAACTTGAGAAGTTTCGGCAATACTCAGGCCCCCGGAACCCGGAATACTTCTCTTTCTTTACGGCTCGTGCGAAACGGAACCCATCTAAGACTGAGATTCGTGTTAATCTCAAATAATATCGGACCTTCACCAAAAATCAGTGAATAATAATTGTTGTGAAAAACAGAACTATCTTTCCTATGAAATTTACAATTCTATTTGTCTTTTGAATCGCGTGAACCCAATGATTTAAGATAATGTAACTTTAAACTAGGACAAGCCTTAGTCCAGCTTCTGCAACCTGGCGAAGATATAGAAGAAAAAGCTTTGAAACTCTGACGATTGTCCCTCTTAAAGAGCTGCCCGGGGGCTGGCGTCTCGGCAAAAAGTGTACCTGTGCTTCTTCTGCTCCATTGTGCTTTTTTGTTTCTGATTCATCTGAGAGTCTATGCGCTTTTGCTAGCCAAAGATCGTAATCAGATGATATCAATGCTAACTATACTGAGAATTAGTTTCAAAAATAACCTCCATGGTACACCTTATTGTGATCCCTCGGCGGTAGTTCGATTCCCCTGCGGCTGGTGACCGTAATGGCGGTATGCTGCTTTTACGGTGTTCGATGAACGTAGCACAGGAAGAGCGAGCTCGCAGCCACGGCGTGACAGGAATAATAATGAACGGCGGCGGATAATTCCATTTTGAGAGCGACGCTCGTTTCCAGCCAAACAAGCGGATTACGGTAGCTACTGGGATTGCACTATGGTCGATGACTGGCAGTAAGCATTCATGACGATTAAGTGGCTAATTGAGATATGCATTTCTTCAGTTCATGATGATGGGTTCTAGTTCGCTGTGGTCTTTGAGTAGTTGTTGGTTTTGTCTTTGTAAATGTGAAAGCCTGCTAGCCGCAAAGATTTTGAATTTTTTCCAGGAAGTTCAAAACATCCTCGCTCTACAGAATGTAGACACACCTTTGAAAGGCGGTCTGAACACACCGTTGCAAGAAACGGACTTCTCAGGTGTCCTACCAACTCCGCGTGTTCAAGCTACACCGAACACTGTGCTTAATGCTGTGGCAGCCACTCCAGCTAGCACATTTGGAGGTAATACTTGTTTACGAAAAGGGCTTTATGTTTTTGAAATGATTCTCTTTTTAGCGACACCCAGCTCTGTCGGTTCCTTCACACCTGGAGCAGGAGGTGCGACACCGGCATTCCGCGACCAGATGGGTATCAATGAAGGAGGTGCAACAGGTGGATTAGAGGCTCGAGCAGAACTGCGAAGAGCTTTGGCTTCCCTGCCAGAGCCACGCAATGACTATGAAATCGTTGCGCCGGACGGTGAAAGTGAGGAAGCCGAAGAACAAGAGGAAAATGGAGAGGAATGGGTTGATGACGCGGCTGATGCAAAAGAAGCTCGTGCTAAACAGCGTGCTCTTAAGAGACAGCGTGAATTGGCAGCCAGAACTCAGGTGGGAATGTGTTATTAATGTTGAAAAGGTATATGATTAGCGTTATTTTGTTATAGGTCATTCAGCGTTCCCTTCCGAAGCCGTCGAAAGTATGCGACGCTGCTTTCAAGCCTTCGTTGAACAGAACGGAAATGGCAAGGGTATGTTGGAGCATTCGTTTTAATCCTTGATGGAATGTTTCTGTTTTAACGCGCTATCCATCAGTCTGTTATCTCATTGTCATCGTTTGCGTGAAATTGACAGATTGCATGGTGGTGGTGGTGTGAGGATGTTGTCGCGCGAGCCCCAGTCTTCTTCATTATGACATAGTGTTTGGAGATGGTGGTTGGTGATACGCTGACGATATGTCATGTAGCACAGCTGCCCTCTGATAAATTAGCTCGCACATCATCCAGGTTGCACCTTCGTGCCCGATATGGGTGCCTCCTGACTGCTGGTCTAATTTCGATGTTTCACAGGCTGATGACTTGATCAAAGCGGAAATGGCCCGGTTGGTAGCATGGGATGTCCAGGATCAAGCTCCCAGTGAAGTGTATGACGAAAGTGTTATCAAGAATGCATCAGAGATGATTACGTATGTTCTCGTCTTTCCCTTTATCCTCTAGGTTCAGGACTTTAACTGTATATTACAGTAAGAACTGTGATGAGGGCCCTCCTTTGGACGCATCGATGTGGGCCGTTATAGAGCAATGTAGTTCGGAATTGGTTCAAAGTCGTGGCAAATTCACGAGGATTGCTGTGTTGTCCCGTGGAGATCAGATTGAAGCGTTGCATTCACAGTTCCAGGTTTGGAATTTGCCTTTTCTTTCACCTGAACCAGAAAATCATTTTGAGTATCACCTATTCTTGCAGATTTACCGAGACTGGATGAACGCGCGAGCCAAGAAGACGGCAAAGCTGGAGAAGAAACTGAAAATCAAACTGGGTGGATATCAGGTTGGTGTCGCTTTGTGCGTAGAAGGTTGCAAAGGCCTATAAAATGTTGTTCGATTCATTGTGTCCCGTTGGCTGGAAGATACTGGATATAGCGAGCGAAGAAAGGGTTTGAGAGCTCATGCTGTTTTATTAGACCCTGAATGTCGGCCAACTCTCATGACCGTAATTTATGCGCGAGCAAAATGCAGGGCAGGAGTACCACCAACGATTGCGCATTTTGTATGTAAATTTGATTAGATCTTCCTTAGCTCGAGAAGCAGTGCAACGAGGCGGCGGCCGAGGATCAATTGGGTTATGTGTTGCTGTGTCATTAAGCCACTACCTGGTAATTTGATAAGTGGCTGGATTATGAAGGGTGAGGTGGCTCCTATCTGAGGGAGAAGAAATGTGGGTTAAATTGCTCGTATTTGTATCTCTGACCTTAATTAGTACTGCATCTGAGAATATTGCGTATGGGTGATTGACGCAAGTTTGCCGCCATTAAGAATCCCTGATATTTTCTGTTCGTCGCTTAGTGAAGTGCCGGGAACTTCCTTTCACGGTGGTTAGTTATGAGACTGAGCCGCTGAACCGTCTTATGGCTTCGTATTTGGTGTATTGGCCTTATGAAGATACTCAGCAAGCTACCGATCTATTGGTAAACAGCTAGCAATATCATAACGTGTACATGCTCCCCCCCAAATCTATTACAACATCACCGTAACTTCCCAAGATTCAGTAATCGGGAGTCAGGTGAGTTTTCCCATTTGGCTGCGTTACGTGGGTTTATGTTAATCTGAGGATTTCAGGCCATCTTTTGGGGCAAGTTTCTTTCGCCCAGGGATTTCCGCATAGCATACCCGCGATGTTGTGCGGAGAACTCTTATGATATATTGGATGAACAAAATTTTATTAGTGATTTATCCTTTCTCATTCCGCGGAAAACTTCAAAAGGCCCCGCCTTAGCCTGTAGGCTGGGCCCAGGGCCGGGTGCCGAGTTCTGACAACATCGTCAGTTTTAAAAAAGTAACCTATTATTTTATTAAGTTTAGTTATTATTAAGTTCAAACAACATTTTTAATCTGCAAATTTATGGTAAAAACACAAAATGTAACAAAAATGTATCACGCTATTTGCGTATGGATCTTTCGGTCCTCCTCCCCAGTGTTTATAAGTTACAAAAAACTGATATCTTTGAGTTTTGCTCTTACTTCACCTTTCTTTTTCGACATATCTTCCTGTGCCGTTTTAAATAACATGCGCGCAAGTGAACCTTAATGAGCCTTGGGTCGCCCTTCGAGTTCGGTGACAGCCTCATCAATTACCAAAGATACCTTGTCAGTAAACGTCTTATGAACAATAAATCTTTTTTTTGGACCCTTTGAGTCAATCAGACAGGTCGTAATCCTGCGCCTTTTTCACTTCCCACATGTCGAGGTCCCGAATGGGAAATTTTGAACGCTATACGACCTCAGTAGCTGTCTGATTTACAGCTATTCCTATTGTATTCGAGGCCGTCAGCTAAAGACGGGAATTCCTTGACGTGTCGTCGTTATACACGCGTGGTCATTCGTAAAACAAAGCCCCATATGATGGATAATGAGTGCTGTCAAAATGTGGTGGTCCCTGAGCAAAAAATATCCTTCATCTGATGAGATAATGTTGCTCATTCCAGGCAATCCATACAAATTTGGCCTCGAAATTAGCTGAAGTGAGAAATGAGCTGGAAATGGCAGCAATTGAAAAGGAGACCTTCAGGTAGGGTTTCATATAATTTTTATGCTTTCAAAATGGTGGCTAGAATTTTGTACTTGTAGACGACTCGCTGAACATGAAATGAAGTCAATCAATAAGAGAGTTTCCCGTTTGCAAGAGGAAGTGCGACAGCAAGAGGCGCGAGAAAGGGAATTGCAAAAGGCCCATGGGAAGCTGAAAGGTTTTTTCTTTGAGCATAATTTGTTTTTTAGGGTTCTTTTTAGGGTTTTGGGGTTCTGGTTTCTTTTGTCAATAGTTTACTAATTCGCTTCAGATCAGCACTGGAAATTGGAGCAATACGAGTTACGCAGTCAAGCCACCGTCCAGGCGGAACCTGTCACCTACCAGGCTACAGAGGCATGATCGTAATGAGAAATGGTATTATTGTTGTTGTGTATTTATTCGTAGTAAACTGTTTTTGTCCGTCGTACTGTTTTTCCTGCTGCACAGAATTCTCGTCGAAAGTCGCGTTTAGTAGGTGTGAAAGGTAACGGCTAGGTGAAGAGGGCATTACGTACGGTTATAATCTGTTGCGGCATGCCTTTTTGCCGGCGCCGATGCCGTGCCACTTACCGTAATCTCTCTCGGGTGGTGGCGAGACGTGAGAGCGTTTTTGTCCGTAGGATATCATCGTTCACACACCGTGAGAGGAGTCGATTCAAACATGCTACGTGTCGGAGAAAAAACTGACGGTTGTAGGTGAGAAGCCAGTTCGAGAGAGGGTCTAGATTTCCTTGTGAGAGGGCCTAGTTAACAAGGGGGGGAGGGTTGTTGTGGCTAAAATTCGGTTAAGTCTGCCGCCTATTTCACTTTCTCAGGAGGCAATCCACAGGGTCGATTTAGAGACACAGACGGGCTCGTTTATGGTAATGAGATGTTGAAACGAAGTGTCTGCAAAGCGCAGTCGCCCCCCCCCCCCCGCACGCCTACAAAAGGCAAATGTTGCGATACCGCGCAGCAGGATGCTCGTATAACGACCGGGTTTCACTGGTTGCTGGTCCACTCGCACTACCCGCCGGCCCCACCGGTTGGCGTTTTTTCGTTCTCGATTCAGGTCGCGCACGCCACGCGAGGCTGGAGCGAAGCTCATACGAATATCATGAATAAATTAACGTCTGATCAAACAATCAAACTATGTCAGCCTAGGCGGTCGATCGATTTCATCGTCTGGTTACGGTATCGGGGATGGGGATTGTGGACAAGGGACTGAAGCACGGCCATATCGGGGTGGCTAGACAAAGGCTCGTGAGTAATTGATGTGGTGGTGATGGGCGCGGCTTGATAGTGTCATTTTTGGCAGCTGATGCTCGAGGTCGAGTGGGATCAAGCGGGATTCCCATGCAGGTGCTGCGGCTGCTGGGTGGCTGGGGGTGTTGGTAGCCACAAAAAGGGCAGATATGGCCGGTCGCAATAGGAAATGTAAACAAAACTATCGCGGCGAGAACAGCGCCACTTTTGAGGTAAGAGGAAGGACAGCTGTTTCGGAGATGGGTTACCTTGAAAGGAGAAGTACAGTGGACTGAGTTCGATGTACCTGCCGAGTTGGCACTGGGCTACTTTTGGGGTTCGGCTTTTTCTGAGGCTGACTAAGGTTTCCTTGTGGTCCATTAGCTCCTGCTATGTCACTGAGTGCTTAGTTGAAGCTGAGCGTCGCGAATGATGACAAAGACGCCGAAAAAGCTGCCCCCTCCAAATCAACCAGTTGACATTTGGCCGTCCGAATTACTGGTAGCGTTTTGCTATTAGCGTTGACGTTTAGTAGGCGCGGGTTCTTCCGGAGATGGCGATAATTGGGTGCGAAAGACAATTTGATCGTCGTATTCATGCGAAGAGCAGGTGCCTACGCGCTTGGGCCATCTTCGTCGTCGCGCCCACCAGTTACCCCAGTCAGTCAAGGCATGCGCAGTCACCGAGTGACCGATGTGAGTGACGGCATCATCGAAGACAATGCCATGCCCGATTAACCTCTTCACACCCCCCTAGTAAATGTGTTTGAATTTATGAGGTCTGCATGAGGTCTACGCAGCGCTAGGAAGGTCAGACCCCAGTTGTTCTCCTCATTGCTCCCATAGGACTCCATTTCGTGCTTTCAGCACGGTTTTTTCTGCCCGTACAGGTATATGGGGCCGGGCAAAAACTCGGGTCACTTTCGCACGATCCCGTCTGCTCACATGAATACGCTTATGTTTTTGCGGCTGGACGCGAAAGTGCAACGCCGAACTGGAGGTCCTCCTCAGTTCAGCCCAGGGAGACGTTCCCCGGTTCGAACTACGAGCCCAAATGGCCCAAGAAAATGGCATCCAATTTATTACAGCAATATCACACATTTGGTCTCACAGAACAATGTAAATAATAAAGAAAAAATAATAAATAAATAGCGTCTCTCTGATTTGAAAAGAATAAAAATCGGCGAGCCGCTGTGGCCCGCTACCCTTGCGCAAAGAATGAACGTATAAACAAAATCCACGTACACACATACAACTATACGAAGGAAACAACAATGGCGGCGTATCGTGACTGGGATACGGTAGCTGAGCAGATATGGCGGAAAGCAAGGTGCGTAATACGCAACTGTGCGTATTTCGCCCAGCCATGGAATGTCTCTGTACACACACTCGGATCAATTGGGGAAACACATGTAATGAGAAGACATCACCCAGACATCATCGGACGCCATTGAAGAAAACACGAGCGCTACGAAAGGAGCAAATGATCGGAGGCGGCGGAGATCAAGCGCCCGATGAGAGCCGGATGAAACGAGGGGGAATTCATGGGATATCCTATGGGAAGAACTGTGAAGAGGTAGTGCATGGCTTTGGGAAATCTGCACACTCTCACGCTGATCCGGAGCCTGTTCGAAGTTCGAACTGAGAGGGATTGATCGGTAAACCGCTTGGGTAGAAGATGTCCGACGGCGGATACGGACTGGTGATCATCATTTGTTGATCGAACTGGGGCGTCATTCGTTTCTCTTTTTGCCGTCGATTGCAGAACCAAACACGAACCACCTAAACAGCATAACGTAAGGGGCTGGAAGGAGAGTGACAGTCTTATTCTTCTCCTAACGAGCTTTTTAGGTGACAACTTTATTGACAGCCTGACGTTTTGCTTCCATTACTAACTAGCGTGGTACTGTTCCGCCCTTGAGGTGGCAGACTGGCCTTTGAGGAAGACGATCGGGTTGGGAACGTCAGGCCGCTGAATAAAGTTGTCATCTAAAAACATCGTTGGCAGAAGAAACACAGAATTCAACAACGATGCCGAGGTTCTATGAAGAGAAAACTTGGGAGAGTGATCGTAGCTTTTTGGGGCAACGGGCGCTCTCAGTTCCTCCTTCCTAATCAGGTCAGGCCAGAGCTGCGCCACCATTGAAGCCTAAGGCTATGCTTGGGCTCAGGCTAAAGCTTAGGCTTATCCTTACACATTTTCTTATGCTTGAGCTTACGATTGGGCCCAGGCTTTGTCCTAGGGTTGATTTGCGTTTTAATGCCAAGTGACCTGACCTGAAGAGGAAACTGAAACGCACCGTTTCAAGGAGGGTCAACAATCACGAACCTCTTTGTCCAAACCGAGCTCGTTGGCCACTTGCAGGATTTCCTGAGCGTTTGGCTTGTGGTTCTTTTGGAAATGGTACTCTAACCGGGACTTCACGTTCACCTTAAAAATGTTTCATGAGAACTTGGATTTCCGCAGAGCAAAAGGGACGAAAAGAAATCTCGAAACCTAATTCCTATAAACATCTGGCTAATCTCACCTCTATACTAGTTCTCTTCTTTCGTTTTCTGCCACCTTGACCAGTCATCTTCTCGAAAGCCGAGTTTGGACTCGCCGACGTGGAATCGGCCTCTTCCAGCCATTTGAACAACAGCGGTTTTAGTTTGCACATATTCTGAAAAGCAATGAACTCAATGAGAGAAAATCATATTTTTCCCCGCAAATGGTATCCCCATACTCGAGATTTTTGAGTAAAGATCAGCAAAAAAGGAGTTTTGGTGCCAGAACTGGCGGAATGGCAACAAACAATTGACGGCGAAATCAACCTTGAACGACAATTGGAGCGCTTCGAATCGACAAATCGTCGTCTGAGAAAACACATTCCCATACAGGGTTCCCAATGCCAAACCGACGTCCGCTTGGGTGTAACTGAAATAAGTTCAACTTGAGCAACGGTGTTGGTAAAAGAGGGATCTTGACAGTATCTTACCCGAGTTTTATCCTTCTTTGCTTGAACTTGTTTAGCAAATGCTTCCAAATCGTCAGGACAGCCAGGTTCTGAGTCGTCGGAGAGTTGTGAATGGGCTGCATCCTCGTTTGGGAACGGATATGGCCACGGATGGGGGAGTCGTTGGATCACCTCAGGTCGCTCGGTGTCAACCTGAATTCTTCACTTTGGAGCGGTTTTAACGTCTCTAGGCTAAAGAGGGTTAAAGAGGGTTGATGAGAAGGATGCTAGAAAGCGACCGTGAATGGAAACCTTGTACTTTTTTGGCCCTACTAATGGTGTGTGGAGAAGAAGAATTAAGATGTGAAGGAGAGAGGGTAAGTCGTAATCAATTGAGGAGGCGCGAAGGCGGACGGAGCAGGCTAGCGTGACGGCAACGACGACAACGTGATCGAGGAAGACGAGGAGAACGAGGTGTACGGTCAGTGAATTGATTGAATTGGATCGACAGCAAAGACGAATAGAAACATCAGGCTCAGCAAAAAAGTGGAGCGAAACGGCTAAGTTATCAGTTTTATACGTTCAAATAAAAGAAGGCGCTATCGCAATATACAGGGGCATCGAAGGCGCTATCGCAATATACGGGGCACCGCCGACTGAGCCCGGCAGGAGCTCCAAGGAAAACGAAAATGGCTCACGCACCTTGGAGTAATTTCTACCCCTCCTAAGGCTGAGTCGCATTTTTAACAGAAAAGACATGTTTTGCGAGGTTTCAAATGAACTGCCACCAAAATGCCCCCGTATATTGCGATAGCGCCTGAAGAATAGTGAAAGAAAGGAATAAGCAGAAGAGCAAACCTTCATCTCGTGCGGTTGAAGCATTGTTGGTTGTTGTAGTTGGAGATGGGTCGGATAAGACCATTCCGATTGCGGAAAAAGAAACGGAAACTGCTGAGCCTGAGGGTACTGAACTGGAGCTGCAGCAGCTGGATTCCATTCTTGAAACGCCTCACAAGTCGGCTTGATCACTTGGAACTGAAAGCGTAATCGATGAGTGGTGGTCGAGAAACGGGGTGAAAAATGGTGATGAGCGTTGGGCGCTTCATCCCAGACGAGACAACACCGCTCGGGCGAAGCAGTTCGACCGCACAACTAATAGTGCTGGTTCGCGAAATCAGATGCGCCTAACAAGCAGGCAGAAATGAATAAACATTAGGTTCATTTGCATCGTTGCACGACCCGAAACGGCCACAGCCACTCAGCCGACAAGCTAAGTTGTCGTAGTAGGAGTCCTGCTGGCAGGACTATCCACAGGACGTGTACGCGTCTCACCTGAGCATAGTTAGGAGCTTCTTCCGATGGACACAGGTTGTTGGCCAGCATTATGGACGAGTGGCGGGATGTGTTTCAGCAGAAAGGCGCGCCCTCCCGTGATTCGTCGCCGCCTGCTCGCTCCGCCCACTTACGCCCCCTGCCCCGCCTGGCATACCATACGCCATCAGCCGATCGACCCCCCTGTAGGCCTCTGATGAACCCCTACAGGTCGTTGCTTGTCCTGGTGTTCAAGCCTAAGATTCTCCACTGCTCAAGATGCTCCATGCGGCTCTCATTATACTTGAGGCTACCGTGGAATGAGCTCACAGCATGCGATTTGCATTACGAATGAACGCTCCGACAGCCAGGTGATCAACGCCGCGCAAACAGTGCGCTGTATGGCGCTTACGTAACTCCGTATGGACAGCTTGCTTGAGTCCGAGACAGGTTGCATGATCGTCGGGGCCGATGAGGTGTCAGCAGGTTGAGAGATGGCGCGGCTGACGATGGCGCTGCCGAAAGCTCGTTTGTTCCCAGGCTTTCGTTGATGCCTCCTCGCTTAAGCTGTCGTCAAACTCAAAGACTGAAATAGTGGCCGATTTCGCTATTCATCAAGTGAACTACAGCTTAGAGGACAGAGCGAGGAGCTGTGAATCATCTTACTCGGCGGATATTGCGCGATCCGATGGTCCGTTAACCCCGTGAATGAGGGCAGTTACAGGTTCTCACAGCGCTCATGTTGACTGGCGGTGCTCCCACACAGAAACTTGTATCACCTGAGATAATCCCGGGGGTACTTGTGTGCGGCGATTCGGCTGTGCTCGTCGGCAATTGCCGCCACACCGGCTCTCCCTCTTGCCCTCTCATTTCCATAATCTCGTGAGAGAAGCGCACTTTTATGGGATTCGCTGACGCGATTCACTCACTCGCTGACAACTTGGCCTAACTGACTTCCTTCCTTCCATGAGGTCAAACAGCCTCAAAACTTCACAGCAGATCGCGTTTGATTCCTCTCATTAAAAATACTCAAATTACCTAAGAAGCCCATTGCCCTCATCTTCGCCATCCCCTTTTTTGGACGTCGAAATCCCTAAATGGATAGTTTTCCTAGAATAGTTTTCCGCTGACAAACACCGTTGCATGATCGCTGACGCTGCGTTACGGTAATCGGGCTGAAGGAAAACATGGCGCGGATTATCGCGCGTCACTTCTGTCCCGGGTGGTGGCCAGTCCCGACAAATACAGTGTCTGAAATTTATTATCGATCAATAGGCCGCAATCGGAAAACAGAAACTCCCACGTAGAACATTTGCATATTCGGTCGGTCCCCGTCGTCGTCGTGTCGTCGTCGTCGTCACGAAAAGGCATACCATACACGTCTCCCCGAGCATGAGTCAGATTAAAAGCTCTCAGCCATAATTTTCGATGAGCCTTTCAGTAGGGGTTGCAATTAGTCTGAATTTGGCGTGTAGTACCGTAATCAGC